GACTAATTTACGTCAGCTTCCACTAGTCACTGCCGGATTCTTTTTTGCTTTTATAAAAGTAAGGTACAGTAAAGGTCAACCAATTTTCGACTTTTCACGTCACCCTGATTGAAAGCCAAGCGAGGTCTGCTAGCTCCCTTGCGTCGTCTCTGTGTGATATTCCTTTACTCTACTCAAACGTAAATCGTGTGCGTGTTCCTTGTGTACGATGCTTGCATGCTTATCATATTTTATTTAGACGACTCTGCCTCTTCGTCACTTCATCCTCGTATTATTTCATGATTTAACCAGCATGTTAGTGTTGACTCTATTCATGGACAACAGCGGCCTCTCCGGGTCGCGTGCTCAGTCGGACTCGCAGTTCCGCGAGGTTCAGCATTCCTACGCTACCCGCATTCTACGGGTCATCTTTCACTCCTTTTTCTTCTCGCTCGGGTGTGTTCTGTCACAACACTTTTCTTGTCGCATACAGATCCAAAATACACTCACACACACACACTCACACACACACACACACCACACACACATACACACACATTTACCTCAACCGCACGCAACCACTTAAACCAACCAACCAACCCCCCCCCCCCCCACACACACACACACATACACACACACATATGCACAACATGCAGTGGCCTCCGCTTGTGCACGACTTTGACGAGAAGGAGCGGCGAATGGCAGAGACGTTTGGGCTGTACTGGTCCAACATGGCGCGTTACGGCGATCCAAACCACAACCTGGGACCCGACCAGGCAACGTGGCCCGCATACACGCCCGCCTACCGCTCCTGGGCGTCCATGACAGTGCCTGTCGCCATCAACACCCAGCTGGAGAAGGCAAAGTGCGACTTTTGGCAGTCCAGATACACCAAGTACTACTTTGACGGCATGTGATGCTGTGTGATGTGATGGTTGTGTGGTGACTCTTCTTCTGAACTTGCACCTGTTTGCTTGCTCGTGAGCGTGTCCCCTCAATGTGTTGTTGTGTGTTGCGCCAGCACAGTGTGATATTTCTTTGCTTCGTCCATGCCTGCCTCCCTCTCCTGCTTCCATCGCTTGTCCCATGCGTTGCCCTTTCGTTAGCTCTGATGAACGCCGTTAATGACAACCACACAACTCGTCAGCTTTGTTTCTCCCCTGCTTGTCGACCATTGAAACTCATGTGAGGACCATCATCCTGCCACAGCTGTTGTTGACTGAAGTACCATCACTGTTTTCTTCATGTGGCAAACAAACTGAAACCAGAAAAAGCCCAAGAGGAAGTTGAGGCAAGAGAAGAGGAACAAAGGACAACAAAAAAGCACACGCACACACAGCACACTAAACACTCGTTCAGAGAAGACCAAACACACACACAGACACACAAACCACAGCACATAAAAGCAACGACAAACGAGAAAGAAGTTGTAGGGCGGGCGGGACAACAATCGCTTCATCATGACATGACCACCCTCGCTTTCACTGCACCTCTTCACTTCTTGCCCTTTGGTTGAGCACGCACGTAGGGCTGACCGCCGTGACGCTTCCACTCCTCCTCAAACTCGCGGGCAAGAATCTCGGCGCCGCGCTTGCGGGTGAGGCCCGTCTCGTCCAGGCTCAGCTCGCACATCTCCATGTCATCCTTGCCGGCAACGAGGAGCACGGGCGACTGGTCCGGGTGCAGCTCCATCTGCCGCGCAATCCACTGGCCGTCAAAGTGCGCAAACCACCAGCCCTTCTTGCGGTAGCCCTGCTTCTTGTCGCCGGGGCGGATAAACGGGATGCGGAAGTAGCGCTGCGGGCGCTCGTTCTTGGACTTCTTCTTCTTGGGCGGCGCGGGGGCGGCGCCACGCTGCTCGGCGGCACCACGGAGACCGGCCGGGGTGCGCGACGGCTGCTTCTGGTTCTTCTTCATGTTCTTCATCTTCCACGCGTGGTAAACCTTGAGGCGGCGGTGGAACTCCTCGCGGCACGCCTCCAGCAGGTCAATGTCGCACGACGTGTTGATGGTGTCGCGCAGGTCGGCGTACTTCCACTTGGACAGGTCGTGCTTCTTGTGCAGGGCCTCCTGCTTCTTGTTGGCAAAGGTGGTGGCGCGGGTGAGCTGCTTGCGCTTGACGGCGGGGCCCTTGGCAATGGCGTCCTTGGTCTCGTCCGTGAGGGCGGCGTCTGGGTTGGCCTGGTCCTGGGCGAGGCGCATGGCCAGCTCCTGGTCGCGGCGCTCCTGCTCCAGGCGCTGAGCCTCCTCGTGCTCGCGCTTGCGCTCCTCGGCGCGCTTCGCCTGCAGCTTCTTATTGGCCTCCTCCTTCTCCTTCTCGATGCGCATCTTCTCCATGCGCTTGGCCTCCTCCTCGGCCTCCTTCCTGGCCTGCAGCTCCATCTCCTTCTGTCGCTGGGCCTCCTCCTCGACCTCCTTGCGGCGGCGCTCGGCCTCCTCCTTCTCCTTGCGCTGGCGCTCCATCTCCTCCGCCAGCTTCTTCAGGCGCTCCGCCTCCGCGGCGAGCTTCTGCTTCTCCTGCTCCTTCTTGATGCTGGCCAGCTGCTTGTCCATCTTGGTCTGCATGGTGGCCGCCATCTTCTCAATCTGCTCGCGCGTGATGGTCTCGTCCGCCTTGACCTTGACAATGTCAGACTCGAGCGCGTCGCGAACCTCGGCCACCAGCTTCTGGTACTTCTCCTTGTTCTTGGCCAGCTTGTCCACCGTCTCGTTCATGACGTCGAGCTGGCTGCGCAGGGTGTTGAGCTGCTTCACGCCCTCGTAGCGCGGCTTGTGGCGGGAGCGGGCCAGGAACATGAGGATGGTCTTCTGCATGGTGACGGCGGCGCCGGCGCGGGCGCGGATCTTGGCCGCAAACTTGAGGCAGGACACGGTGGCCCAGGCAATCTTCTTCCAGCGCTGCTTGATGAGCCACTCCATGACCTTGCTGACGAGGTTGGCCAGGTTCTCCGGGTCGGCGCGCATGATGGTGTCAAACTCGGCAAACTTGCCCGGGCGGAAGAAGACCTTGGACACGCCAAACTGGAAGTCGTCCTCGCTGAGGCCGAGGGCCTTGAAGAGGGCCTTGGCGAAGGTGCGCGGGTCGAGCTGGGCCAGGGCGGGCGGGAGCACGGACTTGTACATGTCGTAGAGGTCCTGGAAGGCGGTACGGGAGGGGAAGCCGCCCTGCATGAGGTCGAGGACGGAGACCATACCGGCGCACTGGAGCTGGGAGAGAATGTCGCCGCCGCTGAAGAGCTTGGGCTGCATCTTCTGGTTGGGCTTGATGCAGCGGATGAAGGAGGAGCGGGTGGAGTGCAGCTTGTCCATGAGCTGGCCCAGGGCGACCTTGAACTTGTTGCCGAGGGAGATGAGGGTGATCTTGCCCTGCTTGGGCACGGGCTCGCCCTCCCTGGGGACGAAGAGCTGCTTGGTGAACTCGTCCTTGGACGAGTCCATGAGGGAGAAGAGGTCGTAGGTGAGGGCGTCGTTGTTCTTGTCGATGAAGCCGTCCGTCTGGTAGCACACGGCGCCGGCAAAGTGGCGGATGATGAAGCCCTCCGAGTCGCGCAGCTTCTTGTAGTAGGCCATCTTGGACTTGCGCGGGAGCTGCAGGCGGAAGTGGTTCTTGTGCTTGGCGTGGAGCTTCTCGGTGAAGTTGCCGTCGGTGGCCTTGGGCAGCTTGGACTCCTCGTCGAGCATGGAGAGGATGCCCTCGGGCTTGAGCTCAATGAGGTCGATGCAGTCCTGGTTGTCGACGTACTCGACCTCCTTGAACTTGATGCTCTCCTTGACGTAGAGCTCCTGCTCGTCCTTGAGGACGCGCTCGTTGAAGAACTGCTGCAGCTTCTCGTTGCAGTAGTTGATGCAAAACTGCTCAAACGAGTTGACCTCAAAGTACTCAAAGCCGGCAATGTCCAGCACGCCGATGAAGCTCTCGGACTTGTCAAAGGGGAAGCACTTGTTGATGCGGGTGACAATCCAGTCGAAGAGCTTGGAGTAGAGGGCCTTGGCCAGGGCGTCGCGGCCGTACGAGGCCTCGGCAACGGGCTTGCCCTTCTTGGAGGGGCCCGAGCCGGGGATGTTGATGGTGTTGTAGCAGAGGGCGTCGTTGAGGGCGTCCTTCTCCAGGCCGAGCACCTTGGCCACGCCCTCGAGCGAGCCCATGGTGTCGCCGCTGACGCTGGAGCCGTCGCCGCTCTCCTCAAAGCCAACGTTGCCAATGTGCAGGACGGCGGCGGAGATGCGGAAGACGTCGGCCTTCTCCTTGGCGTCGAGGCCGCAGTCGTTCATGGACTTCTCCATGACGGCAAAGTCCTTGACGTCGTCGAGGAACTGGATGTCGCCCGTGATGCCCTTCTTGAGGTAGGCAAAGGAGGCCACGTCGCCGAGGTTGAGCGCCTGCTTCATCGAGTCTGGGGCGCCCTTGCACATGCGGTAGAAGACGTGGTAGTTGCGCTCCTTGTCCGACTGGTCGATGATGCGGCTCTTCTCCAGCAGGTAGTGCTCAATGTGGGCGCCGGAGACGAGGTAGTTGCGGTTGAAGTGCAGCTCAACAAACTTGCCAAAGCGGGACGAGTTGTTGTTGCGGGTGGTCTTGGCGTTCCCAAAGGACTCGAGGAAGGGGTTGGCGGCAAGGATGCGGCTCTCCAGGTTCTCGACGGCGCCACCGCCACCGTACGACTCCGTCAGGTAGCGCAGCAGATGCTTGGTGGACTCGGTCTTACCGGCACCAGACTCGCCAGACACAACAATGCCCTGGCTCAGCTGCAGGTTGCGCATGTCACGGTACGCCTTATCGGCTGTGTGTGTGGGGGGGGGGGGTGGGGAGGAAGTTGATGTGAGTCATGGGTGTGTTTTTGTTTTTGGGGGGGGGGGGTCTGGGCACAAAACATGTCACACGTTGGAAATACCAACACGCATGCGCGTGCTTGCATGCGCAAACACAAGCGCACACGTGAAACAAACACGCAAACAAACATGCACACACACGCAAACATGCACACACACGCAAACAAACATGCACACACACAGGCATACACACAAGCACGTGCATGCGCTGCAACTCACCAATGGCGTAAACGTGGGGCGGCAGGACACCGAGGGAGACACCGCGGTACTTGGCAATGTTCTCCGAGGAGTAGATGTCGAGCGTGTGGTATGGGTTGATGGCCAGGAGAATGTTGGCCGTGTAGGTGTAGATCTTGTCGTTCATGAAACGACGGCGAAGGTTGTGCAGGAGGGTGGCCTCGTTCAGGTACATGAGGGCGCCTGCGGTGCGTATGTGTGTGTGTGTGTGTGAGAGAGTGTTGTTTGTGTGTGTGTGTGCGTGTGTGTGTGTGTGTGTGTGTGTGTGTGTGTGTGTGTGTGTGTGTGTGTGTGTTTGTTTGTGTGAGTGTGCGCGCGCTGTTGGTTGTCTTCTCTCAAGCGGGCCACAACCAACATCCGGACACGGCGCCAAAGACGCACGTATCACAACCACACCACGGACGCTACGCACACAGCAGCATACGTCTTCGACTTTCATGTGTGCAACTCACAGTTGTCATCCTGGTCCTTGGCGCCGTCTTCCTCGGCAGGGTAGACGGCATCGTAAGGGGCCTCGATGATCTTTCCACCATCTGCGGGCTGCACGGAGAGAGTGTCGGTGCCAAAGTCGACAATCTCGCCGAGGATGAACCCCTCCTGAATGTGGGGGGCCCACACTTTCTTGCCGTGATCCATGGCGAAAACGCAAGGGCGTCTGCGTTGCGTGTGTGTGTGTGTGTGTGTGTGTGCGTATTTGTGTGTGTGTGTGTGAGTGTGTGAATGTGTGTGTGGGGGGAGTGGATGAGGGCACAATGAGCGGTTGCTGAAATACAAACACAACAAACAGCGCTGTGCGTAGTGCTTTGGCTGTGGGTGTTGTTGGTGTCTGTGTCAATGTGTGTGTTGTAGGCTAGCGTTGCTTGCGGCTTTGTGTCCAGCCCTCTTCATCCACCCATCCACCCACCCACCAACACAAACAAACAAACACCCAACAGCTGCTGCGGCTGCGACTGCGGCTGCTTCTGCTGTGAAGGTTTTCCCACGAATGCTATGTGCTGATGTGTACGTGTGTGTTTGTGTTTGTGCGTGTGGCTGCTTCGTTGGTTGTTGTTGTTGTTGTTGGTGGTGGTGGTGGGTGAGCACAGCTGCAGCAACAACTGCGGCGACAACCACACCGACAGCACCGCTGCTTGCGTTGCTGTGACCGTGTTCCCAGGACCTGCCTCGTTGCTGGTTGGCTGGTTGGTTGCTGGTTGCTGTGGTTGCTGTTCAACGCGTCGTTCCTTGCTTCCCTTCCCTTCACACCCGCTTCCCTTCACACCCGCTTCCCTTCACCGCCCTTCACCACCACCACGACCAGACCAGACCACACACCGACAACCAAACCCAAACAACGCGCCACCACCACCACACCACACACACACCACCAGCAACAGCAGCAGCAACCGCACCACCGCACACTCACCGAGGGGTGTGTCGGTGGAGTCGCCAAGCAGGAAGGAACACACAAGACGGAGAGGAGAGTGCGTTTGTGTGTGAAGTGACGCGAGAGAGAGTAAACCAGCTCACCCCCGGCACACAAACCAAAACTGTTGTGCCAACACAGACCAACCAAACAAACAATAAAAAAAAAAATTCTTGTCTGTTATTCTGGGCCTTTGTGTGGTTCGTTCAGTGTGCGCACCCCGCCCCTCCTGAGCTGGCGAATCGTAGCGCTCAATGTCGTATCCACCGTGGCTTTCTGGATGCTTTCGAGATTTGTGGCGACTGCGCCAGGTATATTTTGCTGAAAGAAAACTGGGAAAGACGTGTCATCGCACTTTATGTGGTGTCGGGATGACCGGTGGCGGCGGCGGCAACAGGAGCCGCGATGGTGGCGGGCACAACAACAGCAGCCGTGACAGTGGCGGTGGCGTTCACAACAGCAGCAGCAGCAGCAGCACCAACAACAGCAGCAACAGCAGTGGTGGCAGCACGGCCAGGGCGGCGGCAGCGGCGACGGGGACGCACCGAGCACGAGGTGGGAAGGGTGGTGATGTGACCTTTACTCTTGACTGTTCCCTTCACACCCGCTTCCCTTCACACCCGCTTCCCTTCACCGCCCTTCACCACCACCACGACCAGACCAGACCACACACCGACAACCAAACCCAAACAACGCGCCACCACCACCACACCACACACACACCACCAGCAACAGCAGCAGCAACCGCACCACCGCACACTCACCGAGGGGTGTGTCGGTGGAGTCGCCAAGCAGGAAGGAACACACAAGACGGAGAGGAGAGTGCGTTTGTGTGTGAAGTGACGCGAGAGAGAGTAAACCAGCTCACCCCCGGCACACAAACCAAAACTGTTGTGCCAACACAGACCAACCAAACAAACAATAAAAAAAAAAATTCTTGTCTGTTATTCTGGGCCTTTGTGTGGTTCGTTCAGTGTGCGCACCCCGCCCCTCCTGAGCTGGCGAATCGTAGCGCTCAATGTCGTATCCACCGTGGCTTTCTGGATGCTTTCGAGATTTGTGGCGACTGCGCCAGGTATATTTTGCTGAAAGAAAACTGGGAAAGACGTGTCATCGCACTTTATGTGGTGTCGGGATGACCGGTGGCGGCGGCGGCAACAAGAGCCGCGATGGCGTTCACAACAGCAACAGCAGCAGCAGCACCAACAACAGCAGCAGCAGCAGCAGTGGTGGCAGCACGGCCAGGGCGGCGGCAGCGGCAAAGGGGACGCACCGAGCACGAGGTGGGAAGGGTGGTGAGCCCAAGCAACGAAACCTGCGCGTGACGCACACGCGATCTCGGCCGTCAACAGCTGCGCGTCAACAGCACAACGTGCTGAGCATCATTGGCGCGTGCGTGTTCACGCTGCTGCTCATCATCTACCTGGCAAACACACAGCGGCTGCGCGACATCGGGCCAGACACGCAGCGCGTGCCCGTTGTCGCAGCAGCAGCAGCAGCAGCCGCGACAGCATCCCTGTCACACAACCAACCACGCTCCGTTGACCCAGCCAGCTCCCAGTACACAACACATAATAAGCAACCCCGGCGCACAAACACCACCACCTTTAAGCAACAGCAACAACAACAGCAACAGCAACAGCGCCGAATACGGCATCGTCGTGGCAGCGAGCCCATGCAGACCAGCACCAGCTTACCCACCACCGCCGACGAGCCAGCTGCTGCTGCTTGAGTGTGTGTGTGGGGGGGTGTGTGTGTACGCGTTTGTGTCTGTGCGTATGTGTGTGATATGATGTGCGTGTATGTGTGTGTGTGCTTCTGTCATGACCTTTGCCTCGTGTTGAGACACACTTGCAGGCTGTGTGTGTGTATGTATGTTTGTTTGCTGTGGTGCTCGCTGTTTCTGACCCTGTGCATCCTCTTCCCTCTCGAGCACACTTTGGCTTCATCTGACATGTGCACAGCTCCAGCAGCGCTTCCTCCGCTGAGCAGTTGTTCGCTTGTACACTTGCTTTCTCGTCTTTCTTCGGCTTTCTTGGCTTTCCTGCCTTTCTTTGATCGACCCCCTTGAACCTCTAGGCAACCCACGCGCAAGCATCTTGTTTGAACAGCTCGGCTGTGCGTCCCGCATATGTTTATTGCTTTGGCGGGCGAATGACCGTGTAAATAAACATGGACATCAACGAGGCTGGTATGGTGGGAGAACGCGTGAAGGTGAGGGGAGGGAGCACTCCGCGCACACACTCACTCAGTGACTGACGCACACACACAATCACACACACACTCACTCACACACACGCACACACACACACACACACTCACTCACTCACTCACTCACTCACTCACTCACTCACTCACTCACTCACTCACTCACTCACTCACTCACTCACTGACGCACACACACACACACACACACACACACACACACACACACACACACACACACACACACACGCGCGCGCGCGCGCGCGCGCGTCATGCTCGGAAGATGCCACACCAGGCCAGAGGTGGCTGGGACAAGGAGGCATAAGTGGGCGTCATATCAAACCGCGACGGCTGCACAGAGACCTGCTCAAAGTCTGCAAACGCACGACAGAGCTCCTCCCGTGTCAGCACAGAGGGCCCAACTTCAGGCTCATCCGCGTTGCCCGTCAGTGTGAACATGTACCCGCCCGGGCGAAGCAGGCGCTTGTACACCGCAACGATGCCTCGCTCATCAATCTGCCGCAGCACGTGAAACGTCTGGCAGTCATACACCAGGTCGTAGCTGTGGGGTGTCACAGCAGCGTCGCCAGTCGCCTCCTCCTGTTGTGGTTGCTGCTGTTGCTGCTGTTGTTGTTCGTACTCGCTGTCGGTGTGGGCTTCAGCAGCCCACGGTAGCTGAAATGCGTCTGCAACCAGGAACGTGCAGCAGTCGCTGACACCCGCGTGCTCCGCACGCTCCTTGGCTGCTGCAACTGCGTCTGCAACCAGGTCCACTCCAGTCACCACAAACCCTTGCTGCGCCAGGTACACACACGACGCCCCCGTGCCGCACCCAATCTCAATGGCGCGCGGTCGGCGTCTCGCAGCCGTAGCTGCTCCGTCGCTGCTGCTGCTTGCGGTAGGCGCCTGCTCGCCTGTTGTTTCCGTCGTTGTTGCTGCTGTTGCCGCTGTTGCTGCTGTTGCTGCTTCCCATGCCGGCAGGAACGTGTTCTCCACAAACTCCACGAGCTGCGACGCCGGCTTCCCGCTGTCCCAGGGCAGGAAGCCTTTGTCATAGTAGCGGTGCCACTTCCCTGTCGCTTCCTCGCTCATGTTTGTTGTTTCTGCTGTTTGTTGTGTTTGTTCAATGAATGAACGACGTGTGTGACATGATTTGATTTGACACATGACAAACAAAAGAAGGCGGCACAGTTGAGATGTGACATGATGTGAGACAGCAATGATGGTTGCGCGGGTTGTTTTACTATGGAATCAGGGGCAAGGAACTGGCGAGCTAGCCATGAAGGGGAGTGAACACAGTCACGTATGTACACGTGGTAAATGTTGGCAGCCCAACGACACAGCGGCTATGGACATGAGATGAGGCTATCGATGCCATGATGGTCATTCGTGACGGTAACTGCACGAAGTACGAGCGCCACGAAATGTGTGTGGCGGGCAGGTGGATGAAACACGGTTCAAGGGGTTCCAGGGTTCACCACTCGCGAGTGGCCGGATCCTTGCCGGCGGCCTCCTTGCCTTCCTTGTGCAAGCGATCCAACGTGTACATGTCCTTGGAATACACGTAATGCGTCGTGATCCATCGAACAGAGCAGCACTCCTGCAGTGTGTGTGTGTGTGTGTGTGTGAGAATGGGCGTGGGTGTGAGAGTGAGAGGGGAGAGACGAGGGGAAGGGCATTCGTGAGATAGCTGCATGTGATGCAACGAAGTACACGCTCACACATGAACAAACAAACACACACACACATGCTGCTGCTGCGTCGTACCAGCTCGTCGCGTGGTGGGTAGTACGTGTAGCGCCAGTACCAAAAGTTGGGCTTCTTCGTCTTTGTGATGTCATATCTCAACCGCTGCACGTTCAGCGGCAGGAAGCGCTCTCGCCCTGACAGTGGGCGTCATGGGTGAGTCATGAGGCATGGACGGTGGCATTGTAACTGTGATGTGTGGGGGGGGGGAGGATGGCAGTCCCTCATGCAACATGTGCGCCAAATGAAACACGCACAACGCACATGATACACACACGCACACAAACACACACACACGCACGCACACACGCACACATGCAAACGCGAAGCAGTTCACATTACCGATGCTGTCTCGGGTGTCCTCGCAGTGAATATTGAGCTTTGCCAGGCTGCGTGCAATCTCCACGTCCTCTGCCACGCCGTTCTTGCGAAACACCTTGTCTGCGTTGTCCCCAAGCATCTTCAGCGCTCGCCTGCTCAGGATGTACCCTGCACCGCCACTGTGGTACGACATCTCGTACTCCTTCTTGCCCCGATGCAGCAGGAACCGGCGCCCTGTGTGTGTGTGTGTGTGTGTGTGTGTGTGTGTGTGTGTGTGTGTGTGTGTGTGTGTGTGTGTGTGTGTGTGTGTGTGTGTGTGTGTGTGTGTGTGTGTGTGTGTGTGTGTGTGTGATAAGAAGGAGCAGCATGGTTCAATGCAAGAGGCAGGATGTCGCCGGAGACAAGAGTTCCGGGGCCAACTGTGCCACCCAACAGACACGTTTGTCAAACCGCGCGCAGCCACAATAGTCACGTCCAGCAATCTCAACCACGCACCGAAGAAGTGGGGGCGGTCTGGGTCGTAGTCATCGAGGAACGACCTGAGGTTGTCCACCATCACGTAGGAGTCATCGTCCAGCTGAAATGCAATGGCGGTGGCGACGCAGTGGTGAGACATACGGTATTGGCACAACGCAAGCTGGCTGACTACTGTGCCAACTCTCACATATGAATGACCACAGAACCACACGCCCACACGCACGCATCCACGCGCTCTAACGCACACACACACACACACACACACACACACACACACACACACACACACACACACACACACACACACACACACACACACACACACACACGTGCATGTACAGCGTCTAGCTCACCTTCATGAACCAGTCATACTTGTCCAAGAAGTGTGTGTATGCGTACAAGAGGGATAGTCTGTGGGAAAATCGCCAAACAAGGGAGTGAAGGTGAGACGGTGCGACGCATGATTGCGAAACTCGCACACGGGCACTCTGTAAATTCTTTCTTTGGTGGAGAGTCAGTGTGGTTCATCCCTTCATCCATCACTCACACCATCACATCAAACGAAGAAACTCGCTTCCCTCACTGGACTACTACCTCGTTTTGAGCCAGAGGTCTTTCCGATCCTCGTCCTTGATGGGTATGATCACGGTGTTGAGGCCCTGGAAGTGCTCGGATGTCATGAACGCCAGCCCATCAAACCGCCCACCCCACCTGAAGACAGAAGGAGGAGGAGGGGGTTAGCAGGGGAGAGACGCGCGCGGAGTGCAGAGAGCAGGTAGCAGGGAGAGCAGGGGAGTTCGCTTGCATGAGGGAAGAACAAACGAATGAACCGAGTCACGCGCGCGCGTCAGCTCGCTGACAAATCACTACAAGTCACGCAGCAAGACCGCCACAACACGACCAACGGAACGCGACATTGGTACGTACGTTCTGTTGACGGCAATTGCCTTTGGATCGTGACGTTGGGGTGTTGTCAGCACGAGCGCAAAGACGCTGGCGCCCTTCTTCGGGTTCTGTGTACATATTCCAATGCGCGGCCATGTGAGTTGGAAGATGGATAGGAGGAGGAGGATGGTAATGTTCTGTGAAGCTACCGTTGGCACGCACGCGCTGCTCTGTGTGAGTGCAAGGTACACACACACACACACACACACACGTAAACATGCACAAACACGCACCGCGTCTGGAGGAGTGCCGTATGGCGGCTCGTCTGGCATGGTGTTGAGCATGTATGCGGGTACGGGCTCCTGTGGTTTGTCTGCATCGTCCTTGTTGCCACCGGCTTTGATCACCACATCCTCCCCACCCTCTCCCTGTGCCAGCAGCTTGCCCATGTCCACTTTGCTGTCCAGTCCAAGCTGTACGGTTGCACACACGTGTACATGATGGCGTGTCGCGTGTGAGAAAGGATGACGTGGATGAAGGCTGCAGGCAAGTGGTGGGTGGGTGATTGAGAGGAGGTGTATCAAGATGCAAGCAAGGCAGTTAGAGCATTCCCAATTGGAGCCATACCCGCTTGATCATGTCCCTCATGACAGGGCTGAGGGTGGGACCGGACGCTTTCCCCTGTTGTTTCCCATCGGCTGCCGCGTCATCATCGCTTGCGCCATGCTTGTTCTTCGCTTTCTCGTCGCTCTTCTTGGATTGCGGCTCCTTCCCAACGACCACGGCGTTGGCGTTTGCGTCTTTTGCATGCTGCCCGTGCTGTCGCTGTTGTTGTTGTTCCGAATCACCCCCTGACAACGAAGGAGCGAGGGCGACGGAGAGTAGGGGGAAGGAAAACAGTAGGGGGAGAAGCGCGCCGTGCAGTTAGGCAAGTGTGAGTACAAACTGCAAAGGAACACTCACTCGCATACGCGCACACACATAAACACACACCCACACACATGTTAGAAGCAGTTGCGTGCAAGCATAAAGGGCACGGGCACACACCGTTGTTGCCTGGTCGATTGACGTGCACTTCCATGGCAGCCTGTTTCGGAGACGCGGCCTGCTGAACGTTGCTTCGCCGAAACAACTCTCGTGCAATGACATTCGCCTACAGGTGTGTGCGTGTGGGGGTACAGGGGTGAGGGGATTGTGAGTGAGGGCGAGGGAGTTGGGGGCTTGGGGCAGGCAGAGACGAGCACACACACACACACACACACACACACACACACACACACACACACACACACACACACACACACACACAGCTGCCTGCAAACTTGGCTCGCTTGTTGACGTACAACGGCGTCATCGTCATCGGGACCTTGGTGGCGCTGTTGGATCAGCTCGAGCGCCTCAATTGCCTGAGGTAGTGTGTGAGGTAATGTGTGACAACATGTCTCCGCTTATGTTACACGGTGCATGGCCAAACTGATGCACACACACGCACGCGCGCGCGCACACAGCTTGCTGGAAGCGGGCATGCAGGCAAGCAAAACGATGCGAACCTGTAGCATTTGCTCATTGGGCGGGTTGTGGACTTCCTCTTCGTTGGGCTGTGCGGCAGCTGAGGCGCGCTGCTGCTTGTGTGTTGGGTGGGAGCAAGGGTGGTGTGTTAGGCATCAAAACGAGGTGCATGGAAGGGGGAACTGGACATGAATCCCAACCTATTCGCACACGTGCAACTGGGGTGTTTGCTTGCATGCACGCAAGGAAGCAGGCTGCTGCAGTTGCGCCAGCATTTTGCGAGAAAGCTCACCTGACGCGTGTCTGTGTCAGACACTTCTTGCAAGGACTGCGCCATCCTTCTCGGTGCAGGGATGACAACTGTGGTTGCGTGAATGTGAGAGGGGGGGGTATGAGTGGGTGAGAACGTGAAGTTGGGTGGCCGACGGCATGCATCATCATGAGTTGCAGCTGAGACAAGAGCACGTGACTTCCCGCATTCCTAGTCTTCTTACCTTGAGGACCGCTGTTGCAGCTGGAGTGGGCCCACATCATGCCGATGGTGATGCCCAGCGACAAGAAGAGCACCAGCACAACAAGCCGCTCATATTCCCTGCAGGCAAAAACGACAGTTGTTGTGTTTGTGCGTTCTCAGAAAGAAGGAAAGAGGACGACGGGAGAGGAAGGGGCAAGGGATCTGCTTGTGAGGATGAGCACACGCAAGAAAGCACACACGAGTGAGCGTACCCGAGCCGAAGCAGCCGTGGCATGGTTGCAGAGTTGAGGATATTGAGTCGAATGGTGGTGGGTGGGCTTGTGGAGGGAAGCGATAGCGTGGAATGGATTTGTTGTGCTTTGTTGTGGAGGACGTTGCACTTAATGAAAATCAGGCACATCTTCACATGAATTTCTCGGTCATTGTGTGTCCGCGAAGCAAAGAGGCGCGCGAGCAGGCGAGCAAGCTTCAGCGCTCTCTTTGTGCTTTGCGTGCACTGCGTGTTCACCCCTCATGCCTGCAGGCCTGCTTGTGGTTTGCTGACAAAGGCACGGGGAACGAACAAGAACAAGGGTGAGACAAGGAGGGTGAGGAGAATGAAGACTTGCCATTTCGTACTTTTCTTTTGTCCGATTTGATTTGCTCCGTTCTTTTTCCTGTGCGTCATCGTGCAAAACAACAGTGCCAGCTCGAGGACGCTGTAGGGAGTATAACAAAGCAGCTGACTGTGGCGTTGGGTGCGGAAGAAGGAAAGAAGGAAGGAAAGTGTAAAGCTGCTGGTGAAGGGTTAGCGAAACACAGACATTAAGCCTTTGGAACAATTCTGAAGGTACATATCTTCTCCCTGTGTACTCCTTCGCTGTTGCCACTTCCGAGAGCCACAGCATGTTCATCACGGCTTCTCCGACAGCTGCTGCAGAGGCTGATGATGTGCGACCATAGAGAGGAGCAAGAGGCGAACAGGGAGAACGAACAAGTTGAAGGAAGCTGATGTGAGGAAACACACATTCAAATCTCCCGCCATGAATGTACGAAAATTGAGGCAAATCATTCACCATATTTCAGAAACCGCCGTCGCCAAACAACAACGATGAGGTTGTTGGCGTGTGTGTGTGTCGTGTGTGTGTCTGTGTGTGTGTGTGTGTGTGTGTGTGTGTGTGTGTGTGTGTGTCTGTGTCTGTGTGTGTGTTGTGTGTGTGTGTGTCTGTGTGTGTGTGTGTCTGTGTGTGTGTGTGTGGATGCGACCTCCCACAGCCTTCCCCTCACAACATCGCGCCTCGTGTTTTGACCACCGTTACATTACTCCACGCAGCGGGATGATCTTCAAGCTTGGGGATGGCGTGCATCCCATGATCAAGCAAACACTGGAGGCGCAGGGCTGGATCGAGTTTGATCCAACAAAGCATGACGAAAACGACTGGAACCTGCACTGGAAATCATCCCGTTTCAGGTGCGCTGCAATGTGTGGTGTGTGGTGAACACGCTGCACTGCGCTGCATCGTAGCCATCTTCAGCCTGTATGCGTGCATGCGCGCGCATCACACACAGTCGCACAGTGACGGGATCAGAACACCAACAGTCGCGCTTGTTTCGACTCACGTCGCCCATGTCGTGCTACACTTGGTTTCTGGCCACCTCATCTATATCATTGTTTGTGCATGACCTCGTTGTTACAGCGCACTCGAGTTTCGAGACGTGCAGCCCTGGCAGCGGTTGAACCACTTTCAAGGGTGAGGCGCAGTGGAGTGTGTGTGTGTGTGTGTGTTTGTGTTGGTGGCGGGGGCGGGGTGGTAGAGGTGATCGCCATGCCATGGCTGTGTTTCATGCTCACATGATCATCTGGGTTTACTGTTGGCACTCACTACGTTTGCACCCCACAACACTGCCATGCCATGGCTGTGTGTCGGACTGACATGACTATCTGGGTTTACTGTTCGCACTCACTACGTTTGCACCCCCACAACACTGACTGCCAGATCCATCGATATCACGCGCAAGGACCGGCTGTGTCGCATGGTGCGCAAGATGACCCTCCATCATGGAAGTACGTGGCCGTGCGTGTGTGACTGCTGCAGCAATTTTCGTTCACTGTCCATGTCATGTGCTCGTGTACTCTCGTGTGCGTGTGTGGGTGTCCTCTGACCTTCTTTCTCTGTGTTTGGTTTCCCTTTGGGGGCCTGCTTCGTCGCATCCTAGAAACGTACAACTTTGCACCCATGTCATTCGTGCTCCCCACGGACCTTGACAAGTTTCGCCAGGAGTTTGCCGATCGGGTATGTTGTGTGTCGGGGGGGGGGGGGGGGGGGGGGGGGGGTTATTTTGAAAATGTGTGTGTGTGTGGATTTGTGTGTGTTTATTTGCCTGAATATTTGTGTGTGTGTGTGGGGGTGTTGCTTTGTGTGCCTGTGTGCCTGTCCGACATTAAATTTAACCTAATTGGGGGCGTGCGTGTGTATGTGTGGGCGTGTGTGTGTGTGTGTGTGTCTGGCGGTGTTGCTGTGTGAACGCAAAGAAGACACCAAAATGTGAAGTAATTTCTCGATCTTTACAGTGAATATTGAAGTTTGAAATCATCCACAAAAGTGAGTTAACAACTATTATACATTTTTGTGATTGTCTAATTTTTTTTTTTAATTTTTTACTAT